TGTGTGTGTGTGTGTGTGTGTGTGTGTGTGTGTGTGTGTGTGTGTGTGTGTGTGACTCATTAAATTTGATTCCAATGCCCACATGAGCATATATAGGAAATAAATCCATAAGTATGTGTTGTTTTTACAATTCTCATTAATGTATTTCTTCTTGACTCATTGTGCTTACTATTTTGACATCATTTGTCAATTTGTTCTTTTCAAATTAGAAACTATATGTTTAAAGGGTAATTGTATTAGTTACTTTATACATTGCTGCAACAAAATACATGTATATCCAACTTTAAAAAGGAAGAGTTTTTCTGGGCAGTGGTGGCACACGCCTTTAATCCCCACACTCAGGAGGGAGAGGCAGTCAGATCTCTGTGAGTTCGAGACCAGCCTGGTCTACAAGAGCTAATTCCACAACAGCCTCCAAAGCCACAGAGAAACCCTGTCTCAAAACACTCCCTCCCCCAAAAAATATAAGTTCAGGAAGCCCAGTCCATGGAGGCCAAGCAAAGAAAAAAAAAATTTGTTCATTCATTCATTCGTTTATTTGCTTTATTTGGTTTTCTCTATTCTCCATAATATGTGTAGCACTTGTTGTCCTGGAACTAGCTCTGCAGATGATGCTAACCTTGGTCGATCATAGAGGAGAAGGTCCGGGGACAGGAGCTGGGTGCTGGCTGGACACATTGACTCAGTAATAAGGGGTCAGAGAGAAAATGGTAGACTATAAAAATCAAGGTCTTTACTCCATAATATCTATTCTCCATAATATGTGTAGCACTTGTTGTCCTGGAACTAGCTCTGCAGATGATGCTAACCTTGAACTCATGGAGTTTCACCTGCCTCTGCCTCCCAAGTGCCAAGATTAAAGGTCTTTACTCCTTCCTCCAGTAAGGCTCTACCTTCTGAATATTCTATGACGTTCCTGAACAGTGTCACTAGTTAAGAGTCAGGAGGTCAGGTACATGTCACATTAATACCACAGCAGTAATAGACCAGATAACCTTGAAGAACAACACTTTAGGATTATGCTGTTATACCTGTGCAATTTCATATAAGTACAAATAGTTTCATTAAGTAAAATGTATGAAATTTGTACACAAATGAACACCTTGATTGAAAAACAAGTAGAGAAAGAAAAATATTTGCAAAAAATGTATGGTTCAAGACATGGAATTGCAAACAATTTGAGGAGGTGTATACTTTTTGATAAGTGAAACAGAAGGAAATGAATAACAATTTACATGATTTGTGAGAACAAAACCAAATGAACTTTACCCCTGAATCATTGCTTTTTAATGAGACATTCAGGGATAGTGTTTTGAGACATAACAGGGAATTTGCACATACAAACTTAGAGAGATTGTGATAGCATGATCAAGTCAGACAATATTCCAGCATAGAGAGGGGAAGTGTGTATAAAGTTCTCTATTTAACTGAGGAGCTGTTGGCAACTGTTAGCTTTCAGGACAAGCAGGATCAGTTCTATTTAAAGGTGCGACCCCTAGCAGGAACCCTTTGAATTCCCATATACTCTAGGTAATTAGACAACACAAATTGGACTTGAGTTTAAATAATGGATACATAAAGCTGAATGGGTAGAGAGATGGAGGAAGATCTAGGAGGAATTCCTAGATGTGGTATGGAAGGTGATAAAAATTTATTATATGAAATTCTCAAAGAATTAATAACAAAGAGAAATGTATTTTCTAACCTTCTGAGTTTGGGTAAGGATGTAACTTTTATAAAATAATAAATGTGACACAAGCAGAGGCTTAAAGAGATATTGTAAACTAAGACATTTTCTGTAGCACTGGAAAACCTGGGACCATGATGAGCAAGTCTGAAGGATAAGTGACTACAAGGAAGAGAATGGATGCTAGCTCTCAGTTTTCCATTAAAAAGCACTGTGAGTGAGATTGCCTTCAACCATGCAGCTAAATATGATTTATGACAATGGGAAGGGTTGTGAAAATTAAACAATGTAGCCCATACTGAAGTAATTCTTCATTCAATGAAAGAAACTTGAGTAAGAGAAAACCACCAATTTAAGCCAAAAACTGCAAAGAAGTCAATTATATCACAAAAGCTAAAAATGCAACACAATGTAAGATTCATTTTCAATGTTATTCCATAA